TTAGAAATGGCATCTTATCTCTCTGCAGCCACTGTTCTTCTGCAGAGCTTGCTGGGAAAGATCATGTAGTAGCAGAAAGGTAACTAAAGCCTTGGAACAGAAGATTGGAATGAAGAGAGATGGGAAATTACTCAATTTTAGTTATCCAAATACTTCAGACTAAAATACTAACAACAAAAGTCTATAAACCCCTGAGAACATACAAGTAGTGAGATAGAAGTTGACAAATTAGCAAGAGCAAGGGTTAGAGTGTTCTGTGGAGCAATCAAGGACAAAACTTCTCTGTTCCATTGACTCCTGCCTGACTGGCAGACTTGGGAAGGTGAGGAAGGGATGTTGCATCACTCTTAGGCTGCTCAATCATTATCATTCACCTCAAATAAGTACTTAGGGGGCTATAAAGTGGTGGCATTATAAGTGCCAGAGACTATGAAAATCTGAACTGCCCCCATCATCCTATGATGTGGCATTGTGCACAATCACTTGGATGCTGTCTTCCAGATGTGTCCTTCAGCAGCAAAGGCCTTGAACAGCAAAGCCCTTTTACATTCCTTCCCTTGGTTTGGCTCAAAAGGTCCTTTTCTGTATCACTCACAGACTGGTTCTCTTTGCCTATGGGCAGGCTAAGTGTGAATCACAATTTCCATCCCAGAGGAACTGTACTGGTATTTTACCATTTTTTTAAAATAATGTGTTGGAAAGCTGACATATTTTAACATTTTTGACTGAAATGAACAATGTTGATGTTCCCAAATTAGAATGTTTGTCTTGCTGAACTCAGTTGGAGTTTCAGTTGAAGTCAATTCAAAACGAGCATATCTCTGCCAGTGCTGCTGCAGGCTCCTGGCTTGCCACTTGCTTTGGGATGAAGCTGCAGTGACCTAGGGGAAGTTCAGGGTGGGATAAAGGAGTCTGGCCTGTAATGGAGCATGAGAAATAAGTCATGTGAATTCTGACATAATAGGATTTGAAGGGTTCAAGTAGAACATATTTCTGAAGAGATGATTATGCCCTGCAGTCATTCTGTCTGGGAGAAGGGATGTACTGGCATGGAAGAGGCACAGGAACAGGACATTCCTACCCAGAGAGGAGCAATTCTGAGTCTCTAACACTGAAACTTGTTGCAGCAGGTCAGCATGTGTTTTATTCCAAAAACAATCCACAGCAAACTTTAAGGAAGAGGAGACAAGTTCACGGTGTGCAAGAAAAAAAGAAAAGCACCAATTCTGAGCCTACTTTTCAGTGCCTGTTAGTAGGTCTGAGGGGAAAAAAACAAGAGGAGAGCAGCTGATCAGCTGTCTGTTTCTCCCAGGTCCTTCTCCTCCAGAGCTCCTGCACAAATTGACTCCACATACTCAGGCACTGGGTAGGGTATGGAAAAATGAACTCCCTCTTTCTCTCTCTTCTTCTCCCTAAAATGATTCCTTCTCACTTGATGTAATTGACTCTTTTTCCAGGGAAAATTGACTCTTTTTCTAGGGGAAAGGGGGAATAAACTGTTAATGTGAGTAGAGGGGTAGGGGGATGTAACAGCTCACTCTCGAATACTGCTGCAACTGTGGGGTTCTCTATTTTCTGTGACAGGGCTACTCAGTGTGTGTGACTTCAGTAATAACTTCTCCAAAACAGTGTTGAAGACCTAGTAGTCTATGAAATATTCTATTTTTCTCCCATTCCAAATGGTAAAACAGTATCTGAGATTTCTTGTAGACGTTTTCATGCCACTAACACAATGCTGTGGGAAGCCCACCTTGTCATGGCATGGACACAGGTCCTCTTAGGACTTGGAGAAGAACCAATGAGAGGAGAACAAGAAGCCGAGGAAGAAAGCAAAATCTCCAAGACAACTAATCAGGATAAATCAACTAATTCTGAGCAAAATAAAGCACCTGACTTGTGCAGAGTATGTCAGTTCCTTGAATTACTGTCAGAGCAGAAAGCATTCCATGCCTTAGCATGCACTGTTCATAAGAAAACTGTGCCATCTTGTGGGAAAATGTAGAAAATATCGAACCATACCTTCAATACATTCTGCAAAATGAAAGGCAGGTGCTTCCATGATCAGATATTTGAGGGAATATTCAGTAAAGGGAAGTCCCCAGCCTGAGCACTGAAGGACCAAAACCTTCAAAAGACAAGTTTACCTTCCTGACCTTAACACTTATGTGGGCTTTGTAGTTCTGAGACTGAGAAGACAAACTCAGCCAGGTGATTTATTACTGAAAAGTGCCAGTCTGGCAGGTTTCTCCCAGCCAGCTGTGAACTTCCACAGTGGGCTAATTCTTACCCAAAATAAAGCAGCGTAGGCCAGCTAACACATACCATCCTATTCTGGAACCTTTTTAAGAAAAGACTATGCATATCAGAAGAGATAGGTTGATCAGAAGAGACATAAATGAAAATTAAGGGAAAAGAAGACTATTGGAACTGGAAGAAGAAAACTTGTATCATCAGAGCATCAGACTCTGTGATTCTTGGCAAAGAGCAAGCCCAAAAGACTTTGTGTCCACGAGAATCCTGTTGAATTAGCAGTAAAAAATAAAACCTAGATAATAGCAACAAATGTCTTGGTCAGAGTTCAAACGCTCTACAGCAAAGCCTTGGATTATTTATATAGCTTGGAACAGTGGTGCTTTTCAAACAGACATTTGGACATGAATATTACTGGGCTGCTGTTGCTCAGGAATCCTGCTGCAAGAGGCACCATGAGGCAGGAAAGATGAGAGAAAAGGGACTTTAATCTCTGGGGCCAGTACAGAGTGGCAGAGAAAAAACAGTGGGGAAAGCAGCCCAGTGTCCTAGAAAAGAACAGGTAGTACCAGTCTGTGGCAGAGGAGGGCTGTGCTGTATCCTTCCTTCTCCAGGGCCTGGAGTGCTTTCCCACTGTTCCAGCCTGGCCCTGGTGTTGTGGAGGGAGCCCAGAGCCACCTCTTGGCCCCTCTACTCACAGTGCTTCAGTAATTGCAGCACACTGCTGCTAAAGGGTGAGGTTAAGGAGCTCTGGACAGCCCAAGCTGCTCAAGCTTCACAGCTGGGCTTACCCTTTGACAGGAAAAAGCATCAGATGTGTCTGATTAGCTGCACTACTTTCCCACAGCCACTTAAATAAGGCAAAGTATGGAAGGAAATTCTTGAATGCAAAAGAAGAAAACAAACAAGAACACAGGTCAGGACAAGATGCATTGCCACAAAATCATATTTGGGACACATATGCTTTAAATATAAAAAACAACTGACAGATGCTAAACAGTGGAAGGAAAAAGGATATTAAAAAAAATAAAAATAAGAGACTGTCGGAAGTCTTAATAAGCAACAAAAAAGGAAGTCTGAAAACTTATGTTTTTTGCTGCTTGGAAAGCTTCCCTTTTTTATTAACAGTCCCTTGAGATATAAGGGAGGGTTCAATGGCAGGGAGAAAATTTTTAGTCTGGTTTGTTATTTTTACATCAAGAATAAGGACAGCACAAACTAAGAAGGTCAAGCATCAAAACAAAAAGAAAGTTCATGTGATATGTCCAAAATGTTGACAGAACCTACTTGAAGTGAGAGTAGGTCCATGGAGTAGGGCAAGAATTAAGGCACTGAACTTTCAGCTAAGATGGAGATTCAGGGCATTCTGTTCCCAGAAGTCAATACAGAGAGAGGGGCTCCAGAGAGCAAAGGAAAGGATTTCTCTGCAGTGTTTGAGGATTGAATCAGGACTTTGCTGTGGCCACATTGACACTGGGGATGTTTGGTTCAGGACCCCAGACTTACATGTGCTGGTTTGGGCTGGGATAAGAGTTACTGTTCTTCACTGGTATGGGGCCATGCTTTGGATTTGTGCTGGAAACGGTGTTGATAACTCAGGGATGTTTTGGTAATTGCTGAGCAGAATTTACACAGAGCCAAGACCTTGCCACTCTCATCACACCACCAGCAACTGGGCGGGGGCTGTGCAAAGAATTGGGAGGAGATACAGCTGGGACAGCTGATCCCAATTGGCCAAAAGGATGCCTCAGACCAAATGTTGCCATGCTGAGCACATAAACTAGGGGAAGCAGAAGGAAGAGGAGGGACATTAATTTCTACTCTTCCAGTTCTCTCTCCCAGCCCACCCAGGGGGAATGAGCAATTGTGTGGTTAAACCTTGGCATTATGTCTAGTCCAAAGTAAAACAAAGTATTTGCAGGCACCCCAAGGAAGGCAGCAATGATGCATCTGCCTCTATGGTCTCAGAAGGCTAATTTATTACTTTATTATACTATATTATCCTAAAGAACACTATACTATACTATACTATACTATACTATACTATACTAAAGAATACAGAAAAGATACTTATTATACTATATTATACTAAAGAACACTATACTATACTATACTAAAGAATACAGAAAGGATACTTATTGAATGCTAAAAAGCTAATAATGAAAACTCGTGACTCTTTCCAGAGTCCCGACACAGCTTGGCCCCGATTGGCCAATGAGTGAAAACAACTCACACCAGAATCCAATGAAACAATCACCTGTGGGTAAACAATCTCCAAACACATTCCAGACAAGCACAACACAGGAGAAGCAAATAAGATAAGAATTGTTTTCCTTTTCTCTGAGGCTTCTCAGCTTCCCAATGGCAAAGGGATTTCTTCGGAGAATGTGAATGCCACAGCACCTGGTGTATTTGTGCCCTCAGCAATGCATTCTTCACCCTATTGATGTGTCCTGGCTGTTCCAAACTGTTGCTCATGTGTTTGCTGAGGCAGCACTCCCTGAAGTGATCTTGGGCAGAGTGCTGAGCAGCCACAATAATGCTGTCCCCAGGCTGACTCGGGCAGAGAGAGCTCTGAAGGTTTGGGGTTTTTGGTAGAGCATCTCCTTTGCCTGGGGTTGCCAGGAAGGGCAGAGAATGACAAACATCAGTCACGCCATCCTCTCAACCAAAGCTGCCTTGTGGCACACAGGATTACCCAGTGGCATGCAGGGGAAGCAGAGCCAGCCCTGGCAACAAGGCTCGTGGCCATGAAGGTGCTGGTGTTGCTGGTGCAGGAGGATGTCAGCCTGTACCAGCAGCAAGTCCTTTGCAGCAAAGTGCAGCAAGGGTTTGTTAGAGCAGACAGAACAGAAAATGAGCCACAAAGTTGGGATCTGGCCCTGATACTGAGACAAAAGAGAGCAAGACAGAGAATTAGCAAGGAGTCAGCTTCAGCACCATGCTGCAATAGGCTTTTCTGCATGGGAAGATGGGTTATGTAAACCTATCCTGAACACATCATGCATTGGTGAGCTTCACTTAGGAAGGCTCAGGCTTTTAGCTCTATTAATTGGGGCTTCCTCTGATGACAGCATCAACTCTGCTGAAGGAAATGGGAATGTATTTGAATAAAGACCTAATCAGGCCAGTAGCAACTGCATATTCCCACTGCTGAATGGCCTCTTTGTCAATTCAGCACAGATGTTTGATTGTATCCTGCTTGCTTGGCTTCCTTTTCATGCACAGCCTAACTAGTGTGATTAAAAAAAATTGCAATAACATTCCTCCATATTCGCTTTAAATTCCTCCCTGTTGGTTTTGACCTTTCTGAAAATATAACTACAAGTGAGTTTTGACTAAGAAACATTTTTAATTTGTATAGTAACTGACTAAAACAGGACCTTGAGATTACTCTCTGAGCTTGGGGAGCCCATGACAAGTGCTGGGGAACAGACAGAAAGGTCTTTGGAGGAAAGAGAATATTTACAGGTTCAGAGCTCCCAGTTCATCATAAGCTGTCATGGGCCACCAGTTGATATTCACTGGCTTTATCCTGTACCTCTCATTCTTTGTTTCTCCTGGCAATAGACATTCTACTGGCCCCTTTCCCAGTCCAAGCTATTCAACTTAAGACAGTGCCAAACCACCAAATTTGATCCAATTTTAATCTCCCAAAGCTTGGGATAGGGTTTTACTCTCTTGTTATAAGATTTCTTCTCATAACAAAATTGCTCCTTTCAAATATTCAGAGTATACAAATTGTTGCTGTCAAATCCACATATTACATTATTTCAATTGTTTTCCTTTAGTTTTTCAGTCTAGTCCATGAAGAAATGACATATAAATCCACTGATACTTGCCTCTTCTGACTTTCAGCTGGATTTATTGCTTCATTTCCTTGAAGCAACCTCCCAGCCACAGGAGTTTTAACAGGCTCACTTCTAAGGCAGACCATCCCTTCTCCCTGCCCCAGCTCTCTAGGAAAACTGCCCCCTACTCTTCCTAGACAAGTTCTGCTTGAATACCAGGTTGTTTAAAAAACCCAACCAAACAAAAGAAAACAAACAAACAAAAAAACCAGCTGCAGCAATTTTATATGGGATGGGCTGTTTTCCCCCTTGCACAGCCATGCACTGAGGTGGAGGAGGGAGGGCACAGCCTCACAGCCCATGGTCACATCACGGGGGAGCCAATGAAGGTCCCAAAAAGTGGGTAAAGGTTTGGGACTGATCGCCTTATCCAGTAGCCACCAGCAGATGAAGGAAAGAAGTTATCATATGGTTTAAAACCAGTTCATTGAGGTTTTAAGTCCAAACTCCAACTACCCTGACTGGCAATTTTTCATAATTTTTACTATCTTCCAGAAAGGAAAAGTAGGTGACCTTGTTTCAGCTCATAGTAGTTTCCACCAGCCCCAGCACATTGTGTAAGAGAGTTCCTCCCTTTTCTGCACTGGTGTTGGCATCTGCTTTGTGAGGCTGGATCCAGTTGGTGCTAGGTTGTGTTATGGATGAATCGCACAGGCACTTTTCAGTCTGTGTCCTTCAAACCACATCGTTTTTGAGAAGCAGACCACAGAATTTTTCTTGGCTGGAGTTTCCCAGACTGTCTTGAGAATTTGTTCTTGCCAGATATTGTTATCCTGATCAGTGAAACTTTTCAGTGCACTCATTTCCCTCTGCAAAGCAAGCAAGCTCAGGCCGGTGTATTTCCGAAGACTGAATGCGATGTAGGATTTGTGCTGAAAAATCTGTGCTGGATTTGTGTGTCATATGAACACCTCCATGATTCCACAGATGCACATTTAAACCTTTGTGCTATGTGGTGTTGTTCTGTGCTGTTCCTCAGACACCTGCAAGCACCACAGATTATACTATTTCCTTTATGTTCTCCCATCAAGAGATACACTCCATATCAATTTTCTTGTCTTTTGATTACACTTTTTTTAAAATTTGGATCCATCTTTTTTCCACATGGTCGTTTTTTAGCCAAATTCATCTACAGATGAGTAGAGGAAAGAAAAAAGGCTGCACAGCAGTGCTGCAGTTGTTCCCCTACAAGGCCCTAGGATGACTCCAGTGATAGCAGAGCACTGTCCCTCTTTGTCTCAGCACTCAGTGAAAACAGATGCCCCCAAGTTTCACTTTTCTCTTTCCACGGCCTTTGCTCCCCTCACAAGCCATGAAAAAAAATATTTTGTTTGCACAGAGATGACATTGTATCTCCTGATCCTAAAGCAAGTCTCCTGAACTTACAAATGTTCCTTAATGTTTTCACATGTGCAGTCCCCCAGTTTCAGCTGCAGTGCCAATGCACTGGTGCTCAGTCCACAGGATCAAAGCCTGAGACAGTCACCAGTTGTGTGACAAATGACAAAGTGTTAAAACTGTTTACACTACATCAGGATGAACTTTTAAGTTATTTAGATATGTAAACATGCAGGGAAAGACCAAAAATAATTTTTGAAAGGCCTTCTCTTGTTTAGGAACAAAACCACAAGATTTTAAAGGTCCCAGACTGCAAAAGGACATAGAAATTGAGGTAAGTACCAATCTTATGGCCTGATAATCTGCTGCTGGTCTGAAGAAACTCCAGCAGAGTTTCCCAACACACAGTTGTTAAGGTACATCCTGCACAGTAGGATTAATCAGTTTTCTGATGTAGATGTGATTTTCCTTGGACTCACTGAACCATGCCAGGACTAGAGAAAAGTAGCAAACATTATTCATCCATTGAGTTAAAGGGGAAAAAGTGAATCAACTGAGGAAAAAAAAAAAAGATTTCTTGGGTGAATACTTTGTGTTACTTTATAAAAGAATAACTATCTCATCAAATTTGCTTTAGGACCTGTGTGAAAATATATGCCTTCACTTAGAAGAGACAAGTCTCCAGTTCCTAACTCCAGGATTGGGTCTCTTTAGCAGATTAAAATCATGATTCCCATCCTTTAGTATTTGGCTGAGTGAGCCAGAACAAGGTTTTCTGCCTGCCTGAGAGGAAGGGCACATGCCACCACTCTGCCTGTGTCACTGCACTGCCTGGGACATGATGGGATTTTGCACCCAGTCCCACAGTAAATGCAATAAACCTGACTCCAAGTGTTGCTCCTTGACATGCATTCAGTAAATCATCAAGAAGTCCTCACCTTGAGGGCTTATTTATGACACATTAGCAAATATATTTTTATTTGGTTTACAATTAATTATTTATTGGTTTTTCATTCAGTTCCTGAGGGGCTGAAATTTTTTATTTAGCATGGCTTAGTGTCACTGAGAAACTGCTATTGTTGAAAACCTTATTAAAAGTATTTTCATATCTTTCTGCCTTTATTTATAACAACACTACTTGGAGCAGTTAATAAGCCAATACCTACCTACTGCTAAGGGCAGATTTTTATTGCTGCTTTTTGAACTGTGGCCAGGTTAGTAATTCATATTTAGTATCCATTCTCTGGTGTCCTGATCTCAGCAGGTAGGGAGAGTGAGAAACACCCACCTCAGAGAACTCAGATCTTTCACATTATTTGCAGACCAACACAGACTTGGCAATGAGCAGCTGTAGCAGCAAGGGGAAGCTGGGGTGATTTTGGGTAAGAAAGGAGCAATGGTTTGTTATCAGTGAGCATTCACAGGGCAAGCTGTGAATGCTGAGAAATGTGTGTGGGTTGGGGATTTTTTGCTTCTTTGTTTTCAAGAGGAAGCAGATGTAAAGTTCAAATATTAATTTCCAGCCTAATCCGTGCCTGGCAGAGAGGAGGTTTCAGGCTCCTTGCCTGCTGTATTGCCCTGCCCAGTGAGACCTTTCTGTGGCTGCTGTTCCTGGGAGAAGGGGCAAAGTCACCCTCTGTGCTTCCCTGGTAGGGTGGAGCTGCTGTCCTGCAGCTGGCACTGAGTGTGACACCTCCAGAACAAGGAACTCTTGGGACAGCAATCCTTGGAGCTGGCACATGAAATCCTGTTAACACTGCTTCTTGAGGAGCAGAGTGAGCTCAGACCTTACCTGCTGGTGCTGCAGTTTAGAGCAGCACTCTTGTGCTGCAAGTGGGAAGGATGCTTTGTGATCATGTGAAGTCCCAGGGGCAGGAAAGGAAAATGTGACAAAGAATAATCCTCTGCTAAGGAGCTTGCAATTTAAATACAAGCCCATTGTTTCAGGATTGAAAGGGATTAGTGCCATGCAACCTGCACACTGGGCAGGCTAACTCTGGCCTGCCTTGTCACCTTTCCCAGCCATCACCTCACTTAAAGGACCCTGAGTGGAGGGGAGGCACCACAGCTGTTTTCTTGGTCTCTGACACATCCGTGCATTGCAGTCCTTGTGCTATCAGGACAAATAACTTGTACCTCAGGCTATCTCAGCAGGCCCAGCACAGGCTGAACAGTGTATTTCTGAGATTTTCAGTAGGCAAATTACTCCCCAGTCTCTATCCTTAGCTAATTCTCCAGGCCTTGCAATTTGCTGCTTTTTGGAGAGCACAGTTCCTTCAGTTGTGATTCCTCCTGAGTCACAACAAATCACTGCATAAACTGTGCCCTCCACACCCTCTCAACAAGATTCTCCTGCTTCAGGGCTTCTTTGAGGGCTGAGCTCAAGACTGGCAGAGCAGATGTCTAGCTGGAGTTTGGTACCTGAAAATAGATTCATCCTGCAATTATCCACACACATTGACACAGCCAAGTTGCTTCCTTTAAAAGGGAATTTTTCCATAGCACCACATTTTTCTAGTTTATTCCTTTCTCATCCCTCATTAAGGCACATTCTCACTTCTCTCTTTCAGTTTTTTATGACTTTATCAACCAAAACTGATTCACAGTATTAAAATTTGTCGCACTTGGGTTATTCCATGTTTATCATGGTAAAAGTAGATATATTTCCTTGAATAACTA